ACTATTGTCCTCATCTTTCTCGCCATATTAGAAATATAGACAGATACTGAAGGGCCGAAACGTTGTGATAAATATGGCGACAAAGATGAGGGCAGTAGTCCGAATAATGTAAATAGTAGACATAATACCTCATCTCAGAAATATAGACAGATACTGAAGGGCCGAAACCTTGTAATAAATATGGCGACAAAGATGTGGAAAATAGTACGAATAATGTAAATAGTGTACATAGTACCTCATCTCAGAATTATAGACAGGTAGTGAACGGCCGAAACCTTGTAATAAATATGGCGACAAAGATGAGGAAAATAGTCCAAATAATGTAAATAGTGTACATAATACCTCATCTCAGAAATATAGACAGATACTGAAGGGCCGAAACATTGTAATAAATATGGCGCAAAACGAGGACAATAGTGGGAATAATGTAAATAGTCTCTATATATATTTGTTAGGGATTTACACCATGGTGAAAAGGTTGTCAACTGCCTCCTGCATATCAATTAATACTTAGCAGTGAGTTCGAATCCCTTTCCGCGGCCCTATTCTCACGGCCTTATGCCAAGTCTACGTGGCAAATGTGCATGTATCATTTGATATATACAGGTAACTATAATTTTGTGGGTCGTATTTTATAGTTGACTTTGGAATTAACAATTTAGATTACCCATAACACATATACGTGCACACACGCATACACAGATAAACAGAGAAAGTGTTTGTTTGTTTGTGTGTGTGTGTGTGCGTGTGTGTGTGTGTGTGTGCGCGCGCGCGCGTGTGTGTATGCGTGAAAGAGAGAGAGAGAGAGAGAGAGAAAGAAGAGAAACATCATTTAAGTGTCATTATTACAAATATTTGGTGCTTCTCGTATGTTTTATCAGCGGCGAGATTTTGTCATTGACATTGCACAGGTGATATCAACTGTTGACTAACAACACGGAGGCCTTCTCAGCGTTTTTCGCCGCTTCCGGGCAGCGGACACCAAATGACGTTCTTCAGTTTAGGTGGGACGCGACCAGCATCAACTCATTATCGCTTCCTATCATGAGAAAGACAAAGAAGAAAGAATATAATTCCCAATTTTTGAAATATGCAAGTGATAGAATTTATTTATTAGAAATATCGAGAGATGACAGTATAACACATTATACCTCTGCATGTTCTCTAGATACAGGGTCTATTAAAAATACTTTTATAAATTTGGGGGCGGGTTTCTCATACCAAAACAAGGACAAAAGTCCATATATATATATATATATATATATATATATATATATATATATATATATATATAAATTGTGTGTATTTAGGCAACAGTTCCTTGATGCATGTTTCATTAAATAATATAGACAATTTTTGTCTATTTTAAGCAAATTCCTTTCATATTGTCTGATAAGCTTAATAACATTATCATTGAAAGACGAAAGAAAATCACCATATTGATACATGTTTTTTAATCCTATCTAAGCTTTAGGCTTACATAAGATGACAATAACGTTGCAATATATTAAACAATGCACAGACAAAACAATAATAATAGTCTGTTTTTGTTTAATATATTGTAATGTTTGTGTCAGCAGATATGGCTTTGGAGAAAATTTGAACGAGTGAGTGAAAGTGCATTAAGGCAACTAGAAGCTTTATGTAGACGAGCAGTCAAAGCAAGCCCGATTAGATAGTGGTTTCTTCTGCAAAGGAGGATGTAGGTTCGAATCCTGCCGGTGGGCACATTTTTCTTAGTAAGTTCTCTCGTGTGCTGCTCGGTACACGAAATAAACAGTAAAAAAACAAAACAAAAAACGGAGCGTCTACTCAATGCGGAAATCGACTAAAAATAACGCTTAAAGTAATGTATATATTTTACAGTTCAAAAGTTTGAGGCAAACGCCGGTAATTTTTTTTAAATTGGCCCACAAAGTAGTTATTTTGTACATTAAATAAGAGAAAAATTATTATATATGGTTAAAAAAAAGTGGGACATGATTTTTTATTAGAAATTTTATTTTGACAAAAAGAAAAAAAATATTATGATGAAATTTTGCTCTTGTCAAAATATCCTCCTTTAGCTTTGATTAGTGCAGCACATATTTTGGCATTGGTTGTAAAAGATTCTAAAAATAAAAGTTTGATAACTGATTCCATTCTTTTTTTCCAATGATTCCAAGAGCTCGTTGTTTTTACTTTCTTCCCTGTTTCTTAGTATTTAGTTTTAAATATTTGAAAATGATATATCTTAGGCATTTTGTATAATCATTAAGTGATAAGCACTTCATTATCTATCTATCTATCTATCTATCTATCTATTCAGTTGCATTTATATTAGTTTGGTAATCCCGGGTTTCACACTTTTGCAACCATCAGACAAGTTTGTCTGATTATCGCAAAAGTGTGAAACCCGGGGTTACAAACTGGTATCCATGCAACTGAGTATGTTATGCACTATCTCAGATATTGAGCACTTTCGACTAAGTTCAGTACATACATATATATATATATATATATATATATATATATATATATATATATATATATATATTTTTTTTGAAAACCAACGAAACATTTTTATCTAATCTTTATACAGTTGAACATTTTTTTTTAGTTTCAGGGAATAACTTGAACGTAAATTCTACAATTTCTTCTGAGCGATTTCGGCCTTCATAAGCCATTGTCGAAGAGTTTTATTTTTGTGTGTCGCATCTTTACGCATCAGTGGGTCTTAAGCCTGATTTTTTTTTAAAACGTATCTTGTCTTCACATGAAGAAACCAGAAAAATCTTTATCAGTAATACAAAAAATATTATGCCATATAAACTGTATAAAACTATTACAAATATTCGAAGCAGGAGTCATCAAAAAAACAAACAACCCGCTAATGGAATATATTTCGCTCAAGCAGGAAAAGGGTGTGTTTTGGGTTTTTTTCCCAGCATGAGAACTGCGGGTCGTCGATAGTTTCTATATCCGGTGATGATCTATTTTCACAGGAGTTTTCCTGTGAAAATATGAAGTACCATTGTTTTGGTTTGTTTTACGGCATATCAACCTCAATGGGTCATTTAATGCTGACAACTGTTTTTTTTTTCCTGGTAATATTTTTGTTTTGTCAAAAATCTATTTCTGGTAATATTTTTTCCACAAAATTGTATAACTGATAATATTATTTTCAAAAACGTATTGCTGGTAATAGTTGTTTTTTAACTTCAAAAATTTATTTCTGGTAATAAGTTTTTTACAAAGTATTTCTGGTATTGAAACCTATTTTTACACTTTCATAATGCTTTTTATCTCAGTTTCGGGGTTAACTATTTGCCTTATGGCTGGGACCCTAACAGTTGCTACCACCCCGGGTCAAGGTGGACCTAGGAACATCAGCAATTAAGAGGTGGTTCCACGTTCCTTAAAGCCTCCTGATCAGAGGCCTTGATGTTGGACGTAGTTTATCGTCATACCCAGGACGGACGGTGTCAATGACTTGTAAGCTGTGCCACACGGCAGTTGACCGGTGGAGGCAGATTTAGCCTCGGCCCGGGCGAGGAAAGACCTCGCTCGTGCTAAAAGAAACAACTGCTCGGTTTGAATTCTGGAAGCTGACTGACGGAATAGACACTTTCGAGCCACGCTCTATTGTGGGAAGGGAAGTAAATCAATGTAATTTATGACTGGTTACTTCCACTTAGACATTTTAATAATCTATACAAATAAAATATTTATCTTTAACCAAAAATTTATCAGTTATGTGCCATGCGCGATACACGCTTAAGCGATCATGTATCTTTCGATACATGGCGAGGCAATTTCTTTCTGCGATAGACCAGTTGCCATCCAAAGTTAAAGAACCCGGTCTGTCCTGCTATTCACCCATAGCTGGGGTGGGGGAAAGAAGAGGAGTCATACCTTTTCCAAGGCTATTAGCACGTAAGTGAATATAATGCATTCGACTAGAATTCGAACTCGGCTCTCCGATTCCTCAATCCGAGATGATATCCATTACTCCACTGTATAACCTGACTGAATGGATTTTTAAGGATTCTGTATTCATCATTATATTGCTCTGTTCTTACATTGAGCTCTCTTTGGACTTATATTCTCCTTGGAATTATCCCAACTATTCATCAAGTGATATTATATATATATATATATATATATATATATATATGTAGTGTGTGTGTGTGTCAAGGTACCAAATGTTCATTTAATTAATATTTTTTGAGTATAAAAATATCTATTATATTTTTCTAGAATTAATTATAATTGCCCATAAATAATTACACCCTTACGAACTTTTTAGAAAAGTTAATTTTCTTCTAAACCCAAAATAGTAGCATTTTAGTATTTCTAGTTGCACTTTATATTATCAAAATATGCATTAGTTATTATTTACTATGAATCTCTATACCATCAAAAATATGTCGTAAAAAAGAGAATGTGTCATTTCTAGAATAAGTAGATCTATGGTATTTAAAGATAACTAAGTTTGATGAGAAATAATTTGAAGAAGGATGACAAGTGTATTAATTACATCACTGCTTCAAATCTAAATATGCGATATTGACTTTTACTTCTCTTACGGTCAGTTACGTTAATAAACTTTTAATGTAACTGATAAAAGCCAAACTATTAATACGACAGTCTCTGATCCTTATACAGAATTTATTTTCAGTTCACGCCAGAAATATTTTGGTCCCACAGGATGTTTCATGTTGAGATCTTCTGCAGGTAATCCAATGTTGGACATCAAAGCTAATCTGACCCACGTGGCTTCGACGTTTCAGGTGAGACTCCTCATCATCAAGTCGGCTGGCGCTGGTAATTTACTACAGGACTAGTGATTAACGAAATTACTACCATTCCTGGAATTTGTGGCCAATCGCAGGAGATCAGCACAGGTTAGCTTTGGGGGCTACGGGCGTGGTTACATCAATATGTTTGCGTATTTGTAAACTCTGTATTATGAAACTATATCTCATTAAATTTTTATTTTTATTATTTCAGCCGTGTTCATGATTCTTGGCTGCGTCATTTATCCCAATGGCTGGGATCATCACGTGGTACGGCGTATTTGTGGCCAGAACGCAGATAAGTTCCAATTAGACCGTTGTGGTATCCGGTGGGCATATATTTTAGCCATCATCCTCATTTTCGATGCCATTATCCTCGCAGTGTTGGCCTTCGTGCTCGCTTCCAAACAGGCCAAATTGCTGCCTGACATCTACGAGAATAAACGTAAGCTGCTTCATTTTTTACTCTCATTATCTATTGCTTCAGCTCAGTCTATCTCAATCCATTTGATTGTAAACCAAAAAAATTAAATTTAGGTTAGTAAATACTTTCATTTATTCAAATCTGTAGTATGCAAGTTGATTACACAGCCCAAAGATGGTGTTGTTCAATACTTTGTTCTTATGTATCAAACTAGCAGCATGGCCCGGCGTTGATCGTACGACTCATACAGCAATCGCTATCACTTGACTTAAAATATTTTTGCCCTTCCTTGCCTTTAAAGGAATGCCCTTTTCTGTGAAGATGTTGCTACATGCCTTACTTCTTGCCTATCTCACACTGCGAAGTTTTTCTAAGCTCTATACTAAACATTAAATCTGTTACTAAAAAAGAACTAAACAAAATGAACACAAAACAATCAGCTTTAAAAAAAGACTCGTAACTGGAAAAACCGAATGAAAAAAGAATGTTAACAACAAATACTTTTTCCCACACAACCCAGTTCTGCGGAGTGAGAATCAACGTTGAGTTTAAGCAAGCGAATGAGCCAATTGGAGTAAAGTGCCATGCAGATTTAAATTTTTCACACTTGTAACGAATGCAGCTATCGATTTTTTTGCATGCTAGCATGCCAGTTAACATTCGTGTCAGTCAGCTGTTGGCTCTCACGCTGGTCAATAGAATCTTCCTGCCTATTCGTGACAGCCAGCTATAGGCTCTCACTCTGGCCAGTAGAGATGGCCGTAGAAGCATAAAAAGAATCGATTATTTCCACTATCGATGGGGGTTGGGAAATGCAAAGTCGGTCTTGGCCTTCCCACTAACTTGGAGCATGTGCATGTAAATTTTGGTGTAAATCCGTCGAAAATTGCGGCCGTGCATTCGTTACACACACACATCCTGCCTTTTATAGATAGAGATATTACAGGGCAAAAACTATAACGAAGTGGAAAAAGTTTTCGTGTGACGCATTTCGTTATTTAGGACTAACCGTATTTCTGCTGCTTTAGTTTTTTTCTTCATTTGTGAGGAGATTGTCCATTATTCAGTGACATAGTAGAATTGATATTACATAACAGTTCAGCACTTTTTTCTTTTGTCCCTGTTTCTTAGTATTTAGTTTTAAACATTTGAAAATGATATATCTTAGACATTTAGTATAATCATTAAGTGATAAGCCCTTCATTATCTATCTATCTATCTATCTATCTATCTATCTATCTATCTATCTATCTATCTTGTGCTATCTAATGTTGTTTATGTCAAGCTAAGTTTATTTCTATCTATGTATCTATCTATGATAAAACGATATATAAGTTTTTATATGCTAAGAACAATTCTAAGGGAAAAACTATGACAGAGTGAAAAATGTTTTTGTGTGACGCGTTTCGCCATTTAGGATTTCATCGGACGAAAAAATGATGTTTACGTTGGTGCAACTGCACATGCGCACGAAGGAAAGGCGACGCTGTGGATTTTAAATTTAAATTATTCTTTTTAAATATATGTTTTGATTATATATAATCTAGCCAATTTAATTAAGTTTATTTTTCTTTCTGTTTATGTTTCCGTCATTTTTGTTATTAGTAAATCTGATTGGGGTTCTTTGTGACCATCGCTATTTTATTAACATTTGCTTTTTTTTCTTTTTTTTTTTACTACCTACATTTATATACGTTACAAGTGAAAGAAAAACAGTCTATTAAAGGCTGAAGGATTTTTACGTCATTCTAGTTTCTTTTTTCCCCCAAATCCGTTTTGCTCATGCTAAGTCTCAACATTATATAAAATTCACTATTTTTTTCATAGTGTTGAATGTGTTAAAATTATTAATTTTTTAACAAGAAAAATCACAAGATATTAAAAATTGCCGCAAAACATTGTTGATTTATTTAAGATGGAATGATCTATTATGACATGTCTCTAATTTGTATTTAGATACATTGGATTTATTTGCAATTTTTCTAGTTGGATTGTTCACCGATATTTCATATGACCCATTATTGTACATAATTAGGTTACAATAAAATTTGTTCTTTATATGAATATTACCTTATAGAAATTGAGATAAAGTAGAATGGTGGGTCCCATATAATAAATTCGGGGTAGGTGGGGGGGGGTGCACGAGTCTCTTGCACCGGCTATGATGGGTGGTGGATAGCAAAACAACAAACATTGCTAAAAGGTACAAATTAGAGAAAGTGTGAAGCCATGATCGTACAAATCAAATCAAATCAAATCAAATCAAAGAAGAAGAAGAAGAAGAAGAACAACAACAACAACCCGTTGTTTGCTGAGTTCTTATTACCACGATATTGTGAAGATCATGGAAAATCATCTTGAAAATATCTTTGAAAAGAAAAAGTCAAATAATTGTCCTTATTTCGAAATCATGAAAGTATTAACGAATTATAGGGAGAGTTACACAGTGGAGAAATCAGCAATGACCTTTATAAACAGGTAAGTCCACTCATTGCCGAATTTAAGCATGTCAACAAAGTCACAGACAGAGCGATGTTGCATAGTCTTCCATAGGACAATTTCTTTCAGCGCCTTTGTTGTACGTGACATATCGCCGTGACAGTTTTCGGGTTGAGGAAAAGGATTGATTTTAAATATGGATAATCAAGGTAGACATTCCAACTTATTTAGTAAACATTCTCTATAGACAATATTCTTGTATCTTAGCAATGGCCCGGTAGTACAGGGTGTCCTTGAAATCACTCAGTGATTTAAAAATGTAGTGATTTCAACATCTTTCATTATTAAAAAACAGAATGAAAATTCAAACACTGGAAATATATTCCCATTTAATTATGAAAATACTATTATAAAATAATAAATAATACGACGTAAATATCCTCCATTTTCGACCTCAAACGTTAGCATTCTAAATAACAGGGGTCAATAAACAAACCGAATGAATTTAAGCGTGTTACTAGGTTGGCATCTCAGTCCCGCCCTTTCATCGTCAAAACGGTTAAATGTAGCCGTCTCTTCTACCCCAATAGCTTCATGTCTCGCACTTCCAGTCTGTGGAATTCCTTTTTTCTTACTTGCTTCCCTGACAATTATTCCATTATATAATATTCAAATGTAACGTCAGTTGACATCTTCTGATGACTTGATCTAATTTCCCGTC